GAAAATCCTATGTAGTGATATCAGATCATAATGTATAGTCTTTAGAACTTAATAAAAATCATTGATAAATATTAGTGCCCAAGGAAACAAGAAACATATCTATGGCATAACAAAACGATTTTTCTTAACTATCTCACAAAATACAACACTTCATGGGGGAACTTTGGGGTTTCTTAATGATAATTTGGAAGGTCTTTTTATAGGTATTGCGGTTGTGCTGGGTCTTTGGAGGGAAGGCAGTGAAAGTGAGAGTGAGCTCTGGATTAGGTGTTCATAGGCAATAGAATACACAAGAAGTATTCTTACTGCTGTTATAAAAGAAAAAAATCAAAATAAAAGTTTTGAAAGCAAAAAAAAAAGCTGTGATGGCTACCGGGGGTGGGGGTGGGGAATGGGGGGTGGGGGTGGGGAAGAGGGAAACCAATAACCCAGAGGATACGCATGCTAACGCTTGAGTAAAAAAATAATATTTTAAATAATTTTCATCTTGACGGTAGGAAAACAAGTAGTAGACTTATAATTTTTATATGAGCAGAAAATACTCAATATTCAGAGTGAGAAAAATATTTGGTTATCTTTGTAGTAGTAGAGCATCCATATCTTTACCTTATGTTCAGAAATAAATACAGATTGAGATTTTTTAAAATATCAAAATATTTTTGACAGGTTGTGTATTTTTAAATGTTTATTTCAGTAGAAAACACTACAGTCTGTGAGCTATCAAATTCCACAGCCTTTTATCTTCTTTTCCATGAGTACACTATGTGGATGTAGCTGCCATTATTCACTACTGTTGAGCAAGTTCTGCATGATAGAGACCTGGTGTACAACAGCGGTAAAGGCATCCTCACGACGACTGCTCTGCTTGCAACAATGTGTGAATTCATCTCACGGAAGGTCTTCCTCTTTGTCACCCAGCTTCTGCTTTACCAGGAGCCCTGGTGACATAGTGGGTTATGTGTTGCATTGCTAACCACAAGTCAGCAACTACAATCCTTCAGCATCTCTGGGAGAAAGATGAGGAATTCTAGTCCCATAAAGTTAGTCTCAGAAGCCCACTGGAGTAGGTATACTCTGTCTCATAGAGTCATTGTGAGCTGGAATCAACTTGAGGCAGTGAGTTTGGTTTTGATTTCTAGTTTAGCAAACAAAATGTCCTTCTCCAGGGACTAGTTCTCCTGATTACATGTCCAAAGTACCTGAATTGAAGTCTTATCAGGCTCACTCCTAAGGAACATCCTGTTTGTACTTCCATGATATATTTGTGTGTTCCTCTTACACTTCATAGTATATTCAATATTCTTTGCCAACTCTGCAATTCAAAGGTGTCAGTCCTTTATTGGTCTTCTTTATTCATTGTCCAGCTTTAGTAAGCATATGAGGTTATTAAAAACACCATGGCTTTCATGATGATCAAAAAATAATTAGTAATATAATTTATAATCAGAGGATGGCCTCTCTTAGGCCTTAAAATATGAGCACTTGTTATGATGGTGAAAGTCTAAAATGAATTTATAAAGCCACTATATAGATTAAGCACCATTTAATTCCTTTGGTCCACTGACTAATGATGTGAATAACTTTTCCTCAGATAGAGTGCATTGGAAAGAAGGTTTCTGTAAATATTCTCAGGTTAAAATTTAACATCTTACTGTCTGCTTCCCTTTTGATCCAGTTTTAACTTCTTCTACATTTTATTATTTTGAGCTTTCTTTTGGATTGAGGTTTCCCTATGTTATTGTTGGCACCTTTTTATATTGTGTCTATGAAATCAGGGAGACGCACAGTTATAGAGGCAGTCAGCCGTAATTTATTGTGGGTTATGACAGAAGAGCTGGGGGGACATGAGGAGAATCCATAATAACAGATGCAAAGTGAAAAGAATATTTTAAAATTTATTGTGATTTTAATATGTTTAAACTATTGAATTGTATGGTACACAAATTATATGTCAATAAAACTGTTTAAAAAATAAAATAAATTCTGAAATAAAAAAAAATAGAGCACGGTGAATTGGCTCTGGCGCAAAAGTGACATCTTTGCTCCTCAGCACTCTCAAGACATATTGTTTTAGCATTTTTGAAGAGTTTTGAAGAGTTTGAAGATTTTTGAATTACGTTGAAGTGTTATCAGCACTGGAGGCGGCAGTCTTTGATCTTGATCAAGAACTACTTCAAGTGCTCTTTACTTCACCAAGCAGTCCTGTCGTCTGCATACCACAGGTGGTTGATGCGCCTTCCCTTTCCACATTCTTCTTCAGATGGTCCACCTTCTCAGCTGCTTCACTCAGCACAGACTGAGCAAATACAGGGAAGCTTACAGAACTGATCTACACCCCACCCATCTGAGGGCACCAACGATATCCCTTGCTTCTTGTGCTTTGTTGAATTTGGTTGAATTTTTGGAAATTCCCTATTAATGTGACACTACTATATGTGTTTATATTAAAAGATATTTACTATTACACTTAGATGGAACTGCAGAGCGAATAGTTTTGGGAATAATAGTAGTGTTATTTACATACATAAATAAATGGAGATATATTTGAGGGTAAACTTATGAAAACTTCTTAAACATAACCAAATACCTTGAAGGAATGAATCCCTGGAAACAACAGGCATCGCCTAGTTGACAGATGGGCATACAGATATGCTAGAGTTAACAAAGACCATGGTCTTCATTTTACTTTGTTGAGTATTTAGGGGTCTAAAACTATTGTGTGCAGCCATCTCAGTTGCAATTGCTGGTGTTTAAGATTTTCGTTTTTTCAGAATTGAGATTTAGCTCTGTTGTATCTCATCATTATTGGTAGCATTCTTGACTCTGTTAGGTATCTTTCTATGTGTTTTGATATATGAAACTATGAAACCTAATATGGGTGAGTCTACAGAGATAATAACGAGAATAAGGGTTCTTGGAGAGTATGTCAGGGATGGTTTGGGATACTGGGGAGCTGATGCCAAGGAGTAATAAAAGGGGAAAATGTTTTTAAAATGATTGAGGTGGCAATTGTAAAATATTGTTTGATAGGACTGTACTATTGAAGGTATAATGTCAGGACATGTCCTAATAAAATGATTTGAAAAACAATCAACTACTTGAGTTCAAAATCACATAATTTACCCTAAGACAAAATTGAGAGGGTTTGGGGATATTGATGAATGAAGCAGGAAAAACAAGGAGGAAGTGGCCTAAGTGTGCACCCTTTGAGAAGATTACAATGGTTGAGGTGAAACAAAATGTGTATGAATTGTTGAGTCTAAAATGAATGATCTGTTCTGTAAACCTTCACTTAATTCATAATAGAAAGTGTTCCCAAAGATCTAAACTTATATTTTACTATGTGGCCAGTCATTTTCAAAAGTGCCTATAAACAAAAGTTCTTAATATAACACAATAAAGGTTGAGATAAAATATATTTTCCATGTCTTATAGACATACATGCCTGAATAGATAGCCTCTAGCCTTAGTTTCTAATTTGACAGATATGTAAGAAAAAAACTCTTTTAAATAATTGTTCTAATTTTTATTATGAAAAGCATATGGCCTTACTTACCTCCCTCCTAGTTCACAATAAGTCTTAAGTCATAGCTGGGTGAGTGACTAACTGAATATTTCTGTCTCTGTGTGTGCTGAGTGTTCAGGCATACTATGTTTAGGATTATAGCTCCAAAAATTTGGATTGTAAACACTAACCTTTATTTCAAAATTGTGCTTATCCATTTTTTTATTGAGTATGCAAAGATACTCAAATGTGGATCGTGAAACAAATTCTGGATAACATGATGAATAATGGGAATTCCAGCACACTTAATTGTGTTCAGGTGGATTCTATATATAGACAAAAGAGGCAGTCATTCAAACAGATCCACGGGCTACTGAATGGTTTGAAATTAGAAGGATATGTCTCAAGGTTGTTTACTTTAATCATATGTATTCAATCTGTATACTTAACAAATAATCTAAGAAACTGGGCAGTCTGAGGAAGAACTTTGCGTCAGGATTGGGAAATGATTCATTAACAACCTGTGCTATGCTGACGGCACAAAAGACTTGACGCATCTCCTGGTGAAGATCAACGTCTACAGTCTTTGGTGAAATTAAACCTCAGTGTGAAGGACACAAAAAATCCTCAGAAAGGATCAATAAACAACTCCTTGATAAATGTAGAAAAGATTTAAAATTCCAAGGACTTTACTTGTATACATAATTAACAATCAAGGAAAGAACAGTCCAGAAATCAAATAGCATTTTGCAATGCCAGCTCTGTTGCACGGGACATTTTTAAAGTGTTAAGGAGCAAGCCTTAGTATTTTCAGTTGCATTTTATGCACACAAAAGTCAGAGAATGAATGAGGAAGACAAAGTAGAATGAATGCTTTTGTATTATGGCAGTGGTGAGGAATATTGAACAGACTGTGAACTGCCAGAAGAATGAACAAAAATGTGTTGGTAGAAGTATAGCAAGAATGCTCTTTAGATTTTGTCTCACAAACTTTGTGTGTGTTATCAACATAGATCCCTAAAAATGAACCTGTGAAAAAGAGGAGGAACTTCAATGAGATGAATCTACACGGTGGCTTCCACGATTGAGAAGATGTGCATGACAAAGCACTGTTTCTTTTGAGCAGATATATGGTCTCTGGGAGTTGAAATTCATTTGAGAATACCTAGAACAATAGCCCAGCAGTGATAGTATCAATAAGGAATGGATAGCCTTTGTTATGTTCATGGTGCTTCATGAATATAAGCTGTGTTTTACATCAGTCTCTTCCACAATAAAAAAAAGAGTAGATTAGAACAGCAAGAAAGGTAAGGGAAGACAGAAGTCAGCCAAGTGACATGACTGCCCAACAGGAGAAAGTAGGAAAAAAAGAAGACCTTACTCCCGACCTTCTGCGTTCTCTTTAAATCACAAGTTGAATCGAGACTTCTAGTCTCCTAACTGTGAGAGAATAAATTTGTATTTACTTGTTTTTTTAAAAACATCCATCCACTATAGCCTCAGTCTGTGTGCAAATGGGCAGAGCCGATCATGGTGTCCAGAATGGCAATTTTGACTTAAAAAAAGACAAGTTTGGCTTCCATCACTGTAGATTAATTTCAGTGGTGACAATGAGACCTGTAATACTCTTTGCTCAAGCAATAAAACTAGAAGTTAACAACAAAGAAATATTTAGCACTAATACTAACCCCCCAAAATATGAATGTTTAAAAAATTCTATCCATCTAATTATTTTATTTCTCTTTTAGGAGCACAGGACAATTGAGATAGATGTTTGTATATATTTATTTGTGGAGAGAGGACAATATTTGATCTTATCCTTATTAAACTGTTAGCCTTCTGGTTAAAGGTGTCTAGAATTTGTATTGCAAGCACTGTAAAGAAAAGCAAAATAATGAGTGAAAACTGAATCCAGAATTAACTTTCTGAAGCAAGCAGGAAACGTGAGAAGATGAATAATATGCTCCTTTCTTCTGATCTGCCAACCTAGATAGCATAGATAAGCTAGTATCTAAAAATATATTTTGCATATGCTTTCTAGATATGATTTCTGCACAGAAAATATGTCTTTCAAATAGTAGTAGGAATAAGTCAAATACAAGTATCACTAACATAAAAGAGCATGCATAAATAAATATAAAAATAAGTAGTTCTTAGTGGCATAGATGTGTTGTTATTAAAATAATATGAAGAAATGAACAAGATACTGTGTTTAAAATTGGTTTAGTATATAGTCAGGACAATGTAATTTTATATGAAGAAAAATATAGGCATTTTGGAATTATGTACTCTGAAGATTTTATCTCAAATGGCACACAGTCACATATTCTTATGAATTATAATAAAAATATTTGGCCATTAAAATATCAATAACATGGAGCATTATCAGATTAAATTTAAGGAAGGCCAAGGCCGTATTAGTACTTGCCGTGTTCAGACACTAAATGTAGTATGGATTCAAGAAAAGTAAAATAGAAACTAACTCTTCTAATTAAAGAGCCATCCCAACAATCTAGAGAAGGAAGACAAGGCTTACATTAATGGCAGGAGCAAAAAGAATGGGGAGGGTAGGATGAATAGGTTAATATAGTGAAATCAAATTCTTTGTGTTATATGAGACAGAGGTTGAACACGCTGAAATTATTTTTTGTATGTCAGGGGAGGGAGATGTCATTAACTAAGATTGTAAATGGCAAAAGAGGAGCATGATCAAGGATAGGGAGAAAGATAATCAAGTGAATAAATTAAATTCAAATTCTTTCAAGGGAGAACTTTGTGGGAATGTAATTTGAGATTTATGCAATACATGAAACTGTAGGTACCAAAGTGATAAAATTTTGGTGAAAAGGAAGAGAATTATATTATAATAGTGAGAGATGGCAAGAGTAAGCTACCACAAATGATGAGGCAGAAATAGGCATAGAGAATAGAATACAACTGGGATTGGAGGCTGTCTGCAAGTTACTGAGCTAGAATCTAGTCAGAATCAATTTAACGGCAGTGGGGGTGGGTGAGCCACTACCGGAAAGACTACCTGGTGCGTGTCAGAGAGACAGGCAACACTTACGATGCGATAGCAGTCCTTAGTGTAGGTAGTAATGGAATACAGAAATGGAACTAGATTGGAGCAGAGGAAAGAAACATATGATGTGAGGAACACAAGACACAAAATGTGCATTCTTCCTCTAAAAGTACACAATCACCACCACTCCACCACCACCAGTAACAAAAATCTGTCTTTGCAATCAGAAACTAATGTTATATAGTGATAAATCTCACACCCACATACAATGAAAAATAGATAACAACATGTCCTATTTTGACAATTTAAATAAATTGATCTATGTTCAGTTCTGTGGCATTATTATATCCGCAATGTTGTACAGTCGTAACCAGTATCTGCTTCAGAAGTTAGTTGGCATGGAAAGATAACAGATATTTTCCCCCATGAATTTTTGAAGCCCTTTTGTTCTTTCAAACTTTTCATCACCCCAAATAGTAATTCTGTAACCATCAAGCAAGAAGTAGGCATGTCTTCTGCCTTCAGGGTTGATAACTTCTAAACTCTATCTTCTCTATATACATTTGCATATTCTAATATTTCTTATAAGTGAAATTTCCCAATAGGTATCTTTGGAAATCTGGTACATGTCACTTAGCATAATGTTTTCAGTGTGCACACATAGTGTAGACAGGCTGTATCGGTCTCATTCTCTTTTAGCTATGTGGGAGACACATTTGTTTGTATATCAGACTGTGCTACAAACGCAGCATTTTGTTTATTCATGTGTTATTAGACATGGGTTGTTTCACCTTGCTTTGCTATAGTAATAATGCTTAAATTGTCATTCACATGCAGGTATATGTTTTTTAATTCTCTTAGTTTTATACCTAGGAGTGATTTGTTACTTTCCTAGTAGGTATGAGATATGATCTGATTGTGAGTTTGATTAATGATTTTCAATGACTGATGATGTTGACTATCTTTTATGTGTTAACTGCCCATTCTTTATTCTTGAGTTAGGTCCTTTTTACGCAACAGAATGAAATACTGCTCGGTCCAGTGCCGGCATTGCAATTGTTATGATGTTTGAGCCCAATGTGCTCCATATGCTAATTGATCTTTGTGAGAGTTTTCCCCTTTTCACTGAATTTTACTTTATCAAGTCTGATGTCCTTCTTTTTCCAGGGAATGGTCTCCCTTGATAGCTAGCCCAAAGTGCATTAGAAAATGTCTAGTCATCTTGATTCCAAGGTGCATTCTGGCTGTACTTCTTCCAAGACAGATTTATTGGTTCTTTTAGAAATCTATGGCACTTTCAAAATTCTTTGTCAGCACCATAAATCAAATGTGCTTGTCCTTTTTGGTTTTCTTCATTCAATATTCAACATTCACATCCATATAAGACCCACTTACTGACATCCGTTATGTACTGTAATTAGATAAATATTTTACATAAGTACATTTTAAGCTTACTGCATCAATATGTATTAATTTGCCTCTATATATGTATATTTAAAAACTCTGTACTATAATATTTTGAAAGTATACATGTACATTTCAAAACTAAGACTGGTTAGTGGACGAATGCTTTCTGCTGCATCTCAAATTGTAAACTGAAAAAACAGAGCCATTGCCATTGAGTCTGTTACTGCCGAATGGCTGGTGATTCGAATCCTAGAACTTCTGGTTTGCAGCTGAATGCTTAACACCTGCACATCTAAGTTTCCTTTTTCAAATCCTAGGGAACATTCGTTATCTCTTAAAGCATGCTTTCTCATCTTAGGGCAACTTTATTATCTTTTAAAAAATGCTTTCTCTCACAGTTTTTGAAGTAACTTAAATTGTACTGGTGCTTTGGGTCTATTTTATAAATCATTTTTACTATGTTTATGGATTACCCTGTTCTGGATGTCATATACAGAGTTTTCTCTTTATAGGCACACAAACACACACACACACACCAATAACAATGTGCGACAGAGAAAATCACAATTTAAAAAGCAGATAATGATTTTTAAAAACCTATAACAAATTTAACCTGGATAAAAAGGGAGAGCAAATGAGAAGGTGCCAAATTTTAACCTAACCACATCTGCTCTAATAGACTTCCCGATGCACTCTGCCAGGCCACTCTGACTGCCGACAGAGATGGCTCAACCTTAGGCCCTCCCCCTTCACTGTTGGAGTTCCTTGTCCCATAGCTCAGAGCCTTTTAAAATTCAATGTCTCTATCAGAAAACTGTAGTCTCTCAAGATACAGACAAAATGTCTACGTGTATACACGTAGACATATATACACCCAGATATATTATAAGAAAGACTAAAGACAAATCGATGCTTTTGAATTATGGTGCTGGAGAAGAATATTGTAAGTACCACAGACTACTAAACACACAAACAGATCTGTCTTGGAAGTAGGCCCAGGGTGCTTAGAAGCAAGGATGGAAAGACTTCGTTTTACATACTTTGGATATTGTGTCAGCAGAGACCAGTGCCTGGAGAAGAACACCGTGCTTGGTACCGTGGAGGGCAGCGAACAAGAGGAAGGCCCAAAGCATGATGGATTGACACCATGGCTGCAGCGATGGGTTGAGGAACAGGAACAATTGCAAGGATGGTGCAGGAATGTACAATCTTTTGTTCAGTTGTTCGTCGGGTCCCTATGGCTCGGAACTAACTTAGGGGCATCTAGAAACAATAACAAATACAAATTACTCACTCACAACCATCAGATCAAATCCAAGGTCACGCAAATTGAACAGGTTTTAGCAGTACTTCCAGATTAAGAGCAGAATATGAAAAAGGAATCGGCTGTCCACTTCTAAGGAACGAACCATTCAAAATAGTAGAAAAATAGTAGAACTCTGAAAGATACTGCAAACCTACTGAATAGCAGCAGACTAATGTCAGAGAAGGTGCCGGAAGATGGGCCATTCAGGCCAGAATTACTCAAAACATGACTGAGGAGTGGTGCCTTCTCAAAGTAGAGCTGACCATAAGGACGTGAATGGAGTAAAGCTACAGGAACAAGGCCTTCTGGCCCTTCACTGGCTGGTAGTGCATGCCTTAAAAGGAGAAGAAACAGCCGCAAATACCTGTGAATCATTGGAATTTTGGAATGTATGAAGTCTAAATTTAGAAAAATTAGAATTCATCCAAATAAAGTGGAATGCATGAAGATCAATATCCTAGGACTTAGACAGCAGAAATGAACTGGTATTGAACATTTTAAAGGAGGCTTTTATATGGTTTACTCTGCCAGAAAGGCATATTCAAGAGGTATGGCATTGCATTCAATGTCAAAAAGAACATTTGAAAGTCTATCTTTGAGTACAATGCTGTCTTTGATAAGATAATTATCCAAATTTAAGGAAAACTAATTAATATAACTATTATACAATTTATCATCCACCACTAAAGCTAGTGATAAAGAAAGTGAAGAATTTTCCCAACATCTTGAATCTGAAATTGATCAAACATGTATTCAAGATGCATTGAAAATTATTGGCAATTGGAATGCAATAGCTGGAAAAACAGGAAGGAAAAGTAGCTGGAAACGATGGACGTGGTGATAGGAAAAAAAAAAGCTGGAGACCATATGATATAATTTTGCCAGACCAACAA